CACCAACGCCCCAACGACATTTGGAGGGAAAGTAGGAAGGAAAGTTTTTGAATTGCTAGGAGAGGATTCTATTAAAAGGAGAACCTAGAGTTCGTTTTCTTTAGGCATAATTTTGTTGGTTGTGTTTTCTTCTTTCGGTAGTCTTTCTAGCAATGTCTATGGTGTGAGAGAGTGGATCTACCTCTTAAAAGTAAATTAACTTTTGTATCTTGTATGTTTGCATTTATTTTTCATAAGAGCAGCCCTTATTTGACTTGTTTTCATCTATCTACCGTTGTTTCGTTGTTGTTGCTTACTGATTTTGAGTCCAGAGCGTATCAAATGATATCAGAGCATAGATCTTGATAGGATGGCAACAAAGAAAGTGGTTGTGCTAGAAAGCGAGACAAGGCAAATCAAATCAAGAACGGAAGAGGGGTTCGCCAATATGGAGAGCAGGTTTTCCTCCATTAAAAGCTGAATGGAGGATGAATTTGAAAGAATAGAAGAAATAAGGGAGATGATAAAAAACTCATATAGATGCAAACCAAGACCCTGCCAATCGCCCCCGTTGCCAAGGATTGATTGGCTACATCAAAAGGGAAAAAGATCGAGAGAGAAGACAATGAAGAAGACTTCATCTACCAACAAAATCGTCCCCTAGGACTCAGAGAGGAGGGGGAATGGAGACTTTCAATGGGGAGGATGGGCCAAACATTGGAGAAGGGATGGTGTGAGGGGCACGAAAGAGCACGATGGAGAAAGGAGAGATTCAAGAGTGAGATATGCGTATGACCAAAGAAGGGAGTTCCACCTTAGACACATGGGGGAAAATATCGAAGGAAGAGGAGGTTGAGACAGAGATGTAAGGGTCAAGAAACTGAAGATGTTATTCTTCGAAAGGGAGGATGCAAATGGATGGAAGTATCGGGTGAAGCGATACTTTGCGATCAATGGTTCGACAGGGGAAGAGAAGCTAATAGTAATGGGATTACAATTGGAGGGGAAGGTTTTAGCGTGGTTCCAGTGGATGGAGTCAATCTGTCTCAATGTATCTGATACACTTAAGGGAAGAGTTTAAGGATTGCTTGTTGAAAAATTTTAGAGTCATTCGGAAATGAGAACTACATGAGCAATTTATGCTCTGACTCAAGAGGGGACGGT